ATATTGAAATTATACCTGAAAAATATCTCCTATACTCAAATACAAGCTTCTCCAGACCAGAAAAAAAAAAAAAGAAAGAAAGAAAAGAAAAGAAGGTCCAGAAACACAACCAACTAGAAAAGATAAAATGATAAAAACCTCTAGTGGCCATCAAGGCAATTCCAGCTCATGGCCACCCTGTGCGTGTCAGAGCAGAATTGTGCTCCGTGGGGTTTTCAGTGGCTGCTTTTTCAGAAGGAGATCTCCAGGCCTTTCTCTGGAGGTGCCTCTGGGTGGAATAGAACCTCCACTCTTTCAGCTAGCAGCCTGGTGCATTAACCGTTCACACCACTCAGGGATCAGTATATGATAAAAGTGCATTACGAAACTGCAAAAGGAAACATAGCTATAATAAAAAGGAAACTAGAAACGTATTGACATAATAGATTATCCATTTGGAAAACAAATGAAATGAGAACCTGTGCGAGACATTATTGACTGGCTACTCAACAACCATTCCCAAACCTCTTTTCCCCTGCCCCCTAGGGATAACGTCTATCCTTTATTTTATGGTAATAATTCTATTGCTTTTCATTGTTTCATTTCCTGTGCAACATACGTATTTATGCACAAGCAGTGTTTGTTCAATTTTGCCTGCCATTAAATCTTTATAAATTGCACTGCACTGTATGTTTTCTCCTATCTTTCACTTTCACTGCATTTCTGAAGTTCCTCCATGTGGATGTTGGTAGCTGTAGCTCATTCACTTCCAGCGCTCTGTAACATTCCATCATATTAACAGACTACAACTGCTGTTGGCGGACGTTTGAGCGGCTTCCAGATTTTTGCTAAACGTAAGCAGGGAGACCATAAACCCTACTGCCTGCGTCTGTAGGGCATATACCTAGCAGTAGAATTGCCATATCCTAAGATACGCACATATTCAACTTTACCAGGTAATACCAAACTATTTTCCAGAAGGGTTATACCAAATCACACTCCCACTGAACAGTGAATGAGAGCTCCAATTATCCACAGCCAGGCCATCCTCGGTATTACCAGGCTTTAAAACGTTTGCCAGTCCAGCAGGTGTGAAATGGTATCTTATTGTGGTTTCGTGCACATTTTCCTGATGACTACAGAGAGTGAACAACTTTTCGTATGTTTATAGCCATTTCTGCTTCTTTTATAAAATTCCTGTTCATGTCTTCTACCTGTTTTTCTACTTGGCTCCTTATCTTTTTATATTTTTATGGTAGGAGGACTTTATAAATTCCAGATAACAATCCTTTGTTAGTTACACGTCTTGAAAATATCTTCTCCCAGTTTGTAGTTTGTCTTTTTACTCTATTTAGAGTACTATTTAAAATAAAGTTTTTAATATTGATTTATCTAAATTATCGACCTTTTCCTTTATGGCTTGGCATTTTTATGTTTGTTTAAAAAAATCCATGGTCAGGGGATCCAGACTTTCTGGAGCCACTGAGGCTGGATGAACCCCTGAAACTATTGCCCTGAGATAATCTTTAAACTTGAAACCAAAACTATCCCCTGAAGTCTTCTTTAAACCAAACAGTAGTATAGCTTAATTAGTAAAGAATGTCTGCCTTGAGCACTGTGCTCTTCTAAACATTATCTTTGTTGTGTCGTTGTATGCCGTCAAGTCCATTCTGACTCCAAGTGACCCGATGTGATAGAGTAGAACTGCCCCATACCATAGGATTTCCTAGGCTGTAGTTTTTACCGAAAGCAGATCATCAGGTCTTCTCTCCCACAGAGCGGCCGGTGGGTTCAAACCACCTATATTCTGGTTAGCAGCCGAACATTTAACCATTGCACCACTAAGGCTCCTATATGGAATCAAATTGACAACAGTGACTCAAAAGGTTAGACAGGAAGTTTAGAGGGCAGTGAGTTATGTTAATGGGGGAGGACTTATTCGGAAAAGGAGGGTGACGATGGCCGCACAACTTGAAGCCTGCAATCAATGTCAATGTCAATGAGTTGTGCAAACAGAAATTGTTGACTTGGTGGATGCTGAAACTCTACAACAACAAAACTAAATTATTAAAAAAGAAAATAAATCCATGGTCAGAAATGTATTTTTTTCTGTATGAATAACCAATTGTCCCAACACCGTTTTATTGAAAAGTCTATCTACTTTCTCTTGATTTGCAATATCGGTTGTCATAGATCAATTTTCCATATATGTAAGGGTTTGTTTCCGGGATCCCTATTTTGTTTCATTAGTTAATTTGTCCCTACACTAATACAACATTGTTTTCATGACAAAGCTTTATAAAAACTCTTCATCTGGAAAGGCAAGTTCTCCCACCCTCGTTTAGCTGTGAGAATATCTTGTTTATTCTTGGCTCTTTTTGTTCTATTACCAATTTTAGCTTCAGGTTTTAAGTTCCACAAAGAAAAAATGCTTTTGGGCAGAATTACTCCCAAAGGTTGTTGAGATTTTGATTTGAGTTGTATTGATTATGGATCCAGACAGCCTGGATTCAGATCCTGGGTCCATCACCTACTAACTGTGTAGCCCCGGGCCGATTATTAACCTTTCAATGTCTGAGTCAGTCGCCTCATCTGTAAAATGGGGATAGTAATGGTACCTCTAGGTCACAGAGTTGCTGTGAGCATTACATGAGGTGTTTAGCATTTACTGGAGTCCCTGGGTGGTGCAAACAGGGACACATGGCTGCTAACCAAAAGGTTGGAGGTTCTAGTCCACCCAGAGATGCCTTGGAAGGAAGGCCTGGTGATGTACTTCAGAAACATCAACCACTGAAAACCCTATGGAGCACAGTTCTACTCTGACACACATGGGGTCACCATGAGTCAGAATGAACTCCATAAAAAATGGTTTGGGGTTTTTGTTTGTTTGTTTAGCATCTAGAAGGGTGCCTGGCACAGAGTAAACACCATAGAAATTTCAGCTGTTATTAGAAAATCTTCTTACAAGTATATCCTTATTCCTCCAACTCCATGATTCCCTCAGTACCCACAGGAGCTGGTAGTAGGGATATGGAGGCTGTAGAGGGCAACGGTGTTGACAATCAGGCTGCGTTGCTGTCCTCTTTACAAAAGCACTGTGCCCGTCCAGAGCGAAGGAGAATGAAGAAAACCAAAGACACAAGGAAAATATAGCCCAAAGGAGTAATGGACCATATGAACCACAGCCTCCACCAGCCTGAGCCCAGAGGAACTAGATGGTGCCCGGCTACCACCACCAACCACTCTGACAGCGATCACAATAGAGGGTCCCAGGCAGAGCAGGAGAAAACTGTAGAACAAAATTCAAATTCACACACAAAAAAAGACCAGACTTACTGGTCTGACAGAGACTAGAGGCACCCTGAGACTGGGCACCCTGCTAACTCAGAACTAAAGCCACTCCCGAAGTCCACCTTTCAGCCAACAATTAGACAGGCCTATAAAAAACAATAACACAGGTGAGAAACTTGCTCCTTAGTTCAATCAAGTATTCGAGACCAAACGGGCAACACCTGCCCAAAAGCAAAGACAGAAGGCAGGAAGGGACAGGAACACTGAACGAATGGATTCAGGGAACCCAGGGTGGAAAGGGGGAGAGCGCTGACACATTGCGGGGATTGCAACCAATGTCACAAAACAATTTGTGTATACATTTTTGAATGAGAAACTAATTTGCACTGTAAACTTTCACCGAACGCACAATAAAAAAAATTTTTTAAAAAGCACTTTGATGGTAAGACTAGAGAACACATTAGAAGTCAGGACTAAAAATATGGTTTTGGGAGTAAGCAGGGGCAAACTGTAGCCCTGGTGGCTCAGTGGTTAGGCGCTTGGTTGCTAACCAAAAGGTTGGCAGTAGGAATCCACCAGCAGCTCCTTGGAAACCCTATGGGGCAGTTCTACTCTGTCCTAGAGGGTCGCTATGAGTCGGAATGGGCTTGATGGCAACAGGTTTTTTGTTTTTGTTTTTTTAGGGGCAGATTAACCAGTAAGCAAGGTACACGTTGGCATTGAGCAAGGCAGGTGCGGGCTTCATGTATTTACTTGTTAATCTGTGGTGATCAGTTTCATGTAGGCTTCACCACAGCTTGGCTGTGGTGGGCACAGGTGAAAGTGTGCACTGCAAACTGGGGGAAGGCACAGTTGGGCCCTTGCCTACCTGGCTGATTGGGTAACTGGGCCTTGGGTGTAAATGTATCTGCTGCGCAAAACAAAACACATCCACTCAAGAGGCTGCTAACCTGGAGTCTGTGATTTACCTGAGATTAGAGGCAAAACTTGGTCCCTTCCTGTGTATGTCTGTGCATTTTTCATGCAGAGGGTCCGCTGCTTTATCTGATTTGCAAAGAGATTCATGACCTAAAAAAGTCTTAAGAACCCACGATCTGTTCGGTACAACGTTCTCTAATGGTAAAACCCTCGTGTGGGCATCCAGCACCCTCTGGGGTAGTCGGTCAAAATTCCAATGTTCACAGATGCAGAACCGCGGGAATGTAAATGTTTAGCAACTCCTTGGAAGGAAATAGAGTTCACAAGGGAAACCACAGCTCACTAAGGGGGGAGGGGGAGCATTTTAGTTAAACGTGGTACAACTGCTGAGGTTTTGGAAGACTCTCAGTGAGGAACAAGAGCCCCTGTGTTTGCGGGTTTGTTTGTGAGTGTTTGGCGGGGCGGGGCGGGGGAGGAACGGTTCAACTTGGTTTTTCATCAAAAGGGGGTTATATGAGTTTACAGCGAACTTCCATCACTTAAAAAAAAACAACAACAGCGAAACCCACTGCCGTGGAGTCCATTTCGACTCATAGCGACCCTATAGGCCAAAGTAGAACTGCCCCCATAGGGTTTCTTACCAAGGCTGTAATCTTTACGGAAGCAGATTGCCACACCTTTCTCCCGCGGAGCGGCTGGTTGGTTCCAACCGCTGACTTTTCGGCCGAGCGCTTTAACCACTACGCCACCAGGGCTAGTTAATCATTTATTGATGCTTTTCTTTCCGTCGTCTCTGGAACGCAGGAGGGGAGAGCAAAAGAAAATAAAGCTCCAAAGAGGGACAAGCACCTGGGCTTTTCGTCCTGCGGTCCCTTTAAGAGAAGAACCTCTTGGAACCGGCAGTCTCAACCGACCCCAGTTTTAACCGAAACCTAACCCGGACTTCCCCATCTTGACTCAAATACGACCAACTTTGGATTTTCCCTCTCCTATTGACCAATCAGAGCCTGTTACCAGGCAGACTTTTGAGGCCGCTGGTGCGAGCCGGGCGCCTTCTGTCTCCGGGTGGCAGCAGCGACCAATGATAGAGCAGGCTGACCGTGTATCTAGGCAGATTGGGGCTGTTACAACCATTCAGAAAAAAGAAAATAAAGAAACGCACGAGCCCGCTGGGCAGGACCGTGGGGCTGGGCTGGAGTGAAGGTGGCTGCGAGGTAGTTTCTCTTTCTCTCTTACGTTTATTGTTGCTTGTGTTGGAAGGTGACTATTCAGAGGTAGGGAGGGGGCAGTAGGAGTTGGGAGGAGAGCAGAAAAAGATTTGGGCTGTATTTTCAACCGCTTCTTTGCCCCTGCCCACGTGCCCCGAATCTGGGACCCCGTTCCCCCAACCGGGTTTCCTTCGCCCAGCCCCTGAGTTCCGCTTCCCTGAACCCCCCACTTTGCAGCAACCGAGGACTGAAGGGAGGGGGAAGAGAGGGAGGTGGGGGCGCGCCTGAGGATGGGATGTGAGGGGGATGACGTAGGGGCCGCGGCGTGGGGAGGGGGAGCAGCGGGGGAAAGCCGTGGCGAGACTGAGTAATGAGAACTTGGGCCCGGGTTTCTTCCAGCCTGGAAGGGCGGAATTGGTTGGTATCCTTTCTGACCTCCCAGGCAGATTCGATGGTGAGAGTATAATAGAGAATTAGAGAACTTCGTCGTGGTGGTGGTGGTTTGGGGCGGGGGGCAATAGGGGGTCCGAGGCAGAAATGTAGATTTCTTTCCAGCGTGGGTTCCCAATCCCCCTATCTCTTCCTTTACAGTTTTCCAGATTTAGGAGACTTCAGAAGGGTGGGGGCAGATAGAATGGAGATGGCAGAGGTCTGTTCGGGCATATGTGGGCCTGGATAAGTAATGGGGTGGTTCTAATTTGGGGCGAAGGCAATGGTGAGAAAAAGACCCCCGGGGAAATTCCGAGGCTTTGTTTCTGTTTCTCTGTCTTTCTGGGTAGAGAGGTGAGGCATGCCCTGGGGTCTCTGGGGGAAGGGAAGGCCAGTGTGAATGCAGCCTTCACGTCCTGTATGTCAACCCTAGCCCTCATGCCGGGATGGCGGAAGACGAGCCTGATGCTAAGAGCCCAAAGACTGGGGCGAGGGCCCCCCCAGGTCACGCGGAGACTGGCGAACCCACCACCCTTCTTCAGAGGCTCCGAGGTAGCATTTCGTAAGTACTCATCCTTACCTCCACATCCTGTTCTGGTCCCAGGTGGAGATCCCTGCAGTACTTCACTTCTCTGCAGAGGAACAGGGCAGGTGCCTCTGACCCAGGGGAGGTTTTTGCCTTGTGGAGGCCCTTCTTGAGCACCTCTTCCCCTCCCTAGCAGTCAGCTAAGGGATGGGGAAAACTGTGTGTGATCCCCCCCGTTTCTCCTTCTCCCTACAGCAAGGCCGTGCAAAACAAAGTGGAGGGGATCCTGGTAAGTGTTTTGGGGGAGGGAGTGGTAGAGAGGTGGGGTTGGGAGTGAGGATGGTGAGTGTGATACAGGCAAAATGAAAGGTCCATGTGGGAGAGGCAGTGCGGGCTGGCCTGTCAGAAGATAATTGGTTTTGACCTTGTACATCTCACTTCCTCTCTCTGTGACCTCTTGTGTAGACCAGTACAGGTAAATCAGAGGTGATCCCCTCTCCTCCCTCTTCCACACGGTAGCCCGTAGGGGCCCTCAGAGCATAGTGAACATCCAGCCTCAGATCATTTCTAAGGTCCTTGTTTCAGCCTGACAGTCCCTAAGTTGACTAGACTGGATGGTAAGAATCAGGGGGTCCTACCTTGGGTTCTTCTTGGCCTTACAATTTCTCCTGCCTGTGTCTCCTGCCGCCTCAGCAAGATGTACAGAAATTGTCAGACAACGACAAGCTGTATCTCTACCTTCAGCTCCCCTCAGGACCCAGCACCGGAGACAAAAGGTGGGTTTGGTACTAGAGTTCTAGGTGTCAGGGGTTCTGATTCTTGGAGAAAGGCTCACAGGGAAGGGGCCGGGTGAATAGGAAGACTCATAACTGCTGTCTTTGATCAAGAACCAAGGTCCCTGCTCCAGTTTGGTTTACTGGGGACAGGTGGATTCTGGGTGAACTCATTTGGTCCAGCACCTACCGAAGTGGTGGTTTGGATAGAACCAGGACAATGTTCGGTCTTGGTAACCCTTGTCCCTTTGACTTCTCTCTGCAGCTCAGAGCCCAGTACACTCAGCAATGAGGAGTACATGTATGCCTATAGGTGGATCCGTAACCACCTAGAAGAGCACGCTGATACCTGCCTGCCAAAGCAAAGCGTTTATGATGCCTATCGGTGGGTGGGCGGCTGGGTGGGCATGGGATTACCCCTCACCCCTGGGGAGCTCCCTGCCTCGATGAAGCCTCATTTCCTAAAGGGCTTCCCAGACTTGATCCCTAGGTCTGGACCCAGGGGATCTGGACCCAGCCCTGGCCGCCTTGTCTGAGTATCTCTCCATCCTGTCTCATTCATTCAGGAAGTACTGTGAGAGCCTCGCCTGTTGCCGTCCGCTCAGCACAGCCAACTTTGGCAAAATCATCAGGGAGATTTTCCCTGACATCAAGGCCCGCAGGCTTGGTGGCCGGGGCCAGTCCAAGTATCCTTGGCTGGAGAGGTTGGGGATAGGGAGCTAGGGAGAAGAACTTGGGAGTAGAAACAGTGTAACCTTTCTAAGTCTTGGAGATCCCTGTGGACTGGCTGCTCCTTAACTCACACCAGATACTGCTATAGTGGCATTCGAAGAAAGACCTTGGTGTCTATGCCCCCCCTGCCTGGACTTGACCTGAAGGGTTCTGAGAGTGTAAGTAACAGATCACACTTGGATTCCACCCTGCTCTCCCACGGGTCTTTGGGATATGTTTTGAGGGCTAACAGAGCTTGGGTCATTATAGATGTAGCTGCTGGGTATCTAGGCTGTGCCCGTTTGCCTACCCTATGCTGAGGCAGAGAACGCAGAGAACTTGTGGGTGTCTTGAATGGGGTGGGTAGAGTCACTCCCATCCCATGTCTGGTCTGGTGTCAGCTATGGCCAATATTGGTGTCTGAGAGAGGGCAGAGGTCCTTTAGTTGGGAGTGTGATGGGGCATGTCCTTCACAACTGCAGCCAGAAATGGGCCCAGAAGTAACCCCAGCACCTCGGGATGAACTGGTAGAGGCAGCCTGCGCCCTGACCTGTGACTGGGCGGAGCGAATCCTGAAAAGGTCCTTCAGTTCCATCGTGGAGGTCGCCCGCTTCCTACTACAGCAGCATCTTATCTCCGCCCGATCGGCTCACGCTCACGTGCTCAAGGCCGTGGGGCTTGCTGGTGGGTGCACCCTCCCTTATGTTCCGAGAAACTGTCCACCGCTTTCAGCTTGAAAGGCCTTCCCACATACCAGATAGAGACGCCTCGATTTGCCTTCTGTTCCTGTAGACCCTTCCCGGACATGCCCCAGGCCTCCTCCTTCCCGTCTCCATTAGTCTGCCAGTCAGTGAGAGTCGCCTCCCTCTCTCTCCATGCCTCAGTTGCTGCCATTCTCAATTTATTACCTTTCCTGGTACCTCTGCAGAAGAGGACGAACATGCTCCTCGGGAACGGTCATCTAAGTCCAAGAATGGTGTGGAGAACCTGGAGGCCGGAGCCCAGAAGAAGCCTGAGAAGCCAACCCAGGTCAGGAGGCCGATGCCCTGGACTTCACCGCCCTGGGCTAGGGGGCTTGCTATACCCTGCCCCTGGTGTGTCCCGTATTTTTTTTTAAACTTCCTGCCGTGTGCCTGTGTTCCCTTCAGTCCCCAGTTTTCGTCCCTTACTGTGCTCCTCTCTTTACTTTGTAGCCTCCCAAGGAGCTAGAACCCCGGGCTGGGGCTGGCGCCTCAGTGCGTGGAGAGAGGAAGAAGAACGTAGTAGAGACCCCAGCCCCGGCAGCCAGTAACCCACAGGTTAACGCCCTGGTGGCTCGGCTACCGCTGCTCCTCCCCCGGACCCCTCGCTCACACCTTCAGCCAATCCGAGTCTCTCCGCCTATCCTGGCCCCCAGGCTTCCTTCAGGCCCCCTGAAGGTGGCTACGCTGCCTCTGCCCAGTAGAGGTGGGGGGCCTCCAGCAGCTGTGCCCATCATTAACATGATCTTACCAACTGTTCCTGCTTTGCCTGGGCCTGGGCGAGCACCACCTGTGGGTCTCACTCAGCCCCAGTGCACAGACAACAAGGAGGTAGGCATAGGGGGTGACCCGGGACCCCAGGACAAGGGTGTCAAGAGGACGGCTGAAGTAGCTGTGAGCGAGGCCAGTGGGCAGGACCCGCCAGCTAAAGCAGCAAAGCAGGATATAGAGGATACGGGAGCCGATGCCAAAAGAAAACGGGGGCGCCCTCGGAAAAAATCCGGTGGAAGCAAGGAAAGGAATTCTACCCCTGAGAAGTCAGCAGCTGCCCTGGACTCCGCCCAGCCCTCCAGGTTAACACTGGAGACTTGGGGCTCTGGAAGGGAAAGCAACTCAGCTGGAGGGTCAGAGAGGCCAGGGCTAATGGGAGAGGCTAGGAAGGGGACAGTGCTTGCCCAGGGTCGGGAAGATGGTGCTATTTCCAAAGGAGTAAGGGGCTCCAGTTCCCGGCATACCAAAGAAGCGGAAGATAAGATTCTTCTTGTCGCTCCTAAAGTGAGCGTCATCAAGGGCAGTAGAAGCCAGAAGGAGGCTCTTCGGTTGGTGAAGGGAGAGGAAGAGACTGCAGCCCAGGGTAATAAAGACTTAAAGGGGCACGTGCTTCAAAGCTGCTTACCCCATGAGTGTAAAGACCCCAAAGCAACACCGCCGTGATAGGTGGGGAAGAGTGTTTCTATACCTACGTCAGCTCTGCCTGCCCAGCAGAGCCTTTGTTGCACTTGCTTCTCATTTGCCTCATCTTCCCTTGAGGGAGTCCGTTCTCTGGTCTAGACAGCTGAGTCACCTAGTCTTACCTGCTGCCTAGTGCACCTGCCTCTGACCCAGCTTAATCCTCTTGCCTTTAACATCACCAGTAAATTTTAGTGACCTTACCTGGATCCCTGTGCTGTCCTGTGGGAAGGTAGGGACAGGGTCTGTGTGATATTTTGGCTTTAAATCATAGAAAACCTAACTCAAACTGGCTTAAAAATAAAAAGGATTTATTGGCTCAAGTAATGGTGAAGTGCAGAGGTGGGGCTAGCTTCAGGTGAAGCTTGATCCAGTGGTTCAGTATGTCACTAAATACCTGATTTATTCTCTCTGCTCCACCTTCCATAGGATCATCTTAAGGCTGGGCCACCTCATGGCTGCCAACACTCCTAGAATTACATGTTTCTTCATTTATGTCCAACCAGAAACAGTGGGCATCTTTGTGCTAGAAATCCTAGCAAAAGCCCTAAGATTGACTCTGATCAGGCCAGCCTGGGTCACATGTCCATCCCTAACTAATCACTGTGGCCTGAGGATGGAATATGCTGATTTGCTTACTCTACATCATGGACTACACCTTTCTTAAAAAGGACTGGCCTCTTCAGAATCATATAGATTCCCCAAATGGAAGGTGTGATGGGGGAGTTGCTAGCCGAGGAGGCTGGTACTATGAAGTTCATGCTATCAGCTAGCCCTGCTTCCTTTCTCATCAGTCTTGTTTCCCTTACTGCAGTTGCGACCTGCTTCCTCTTGTTCTAGTCTAGAAGGAACAAAAGGGAATTCATTCTTCTTTAGGGACTCTCTCCACTCTCCCCTTAAGATGACAATCCCTTTTTTCACCTACATTCTCAGAGGGGGCTGTTTCCTTTTCCTGTTTATGAGTTTTAGCGTTCCTGTTACTGTCATCCCCCACCCTACGGCCACTTTCACCAAGAAAAGTAGATTTACTGCCTGGGCATTTCATTAAGTTCGTTCTGTATCCACCAGGTGTCAGTCTCTGGGCGTACCTGTGTGGGGTTTAGGCCAGAATCTTGATGTATGGAAGGAAGTAGCTCAGCATTTCAAGGAGCTCCAATGGGGAAATAATACAGACCCTACAGGTTTGTCCTGGGAAAATGCAGTAAACCAATGTTTATTGAGGATCTACTTTGTCTTTTGCATAGAGTAGCTTCTGTCAGGGAATCTTGGTTTTACCAAGAAATAGATTTTCTTTCAGGGAGATTCATTTGTTCACTTATTTCCACTTCAGTGGATTTCTAAAAAATATGGAATATTTGATATCTATAAAGAACATATGTAACATAAATTATGAAGCATAATTATAAAATGAATACTTACAACCCATCACCCAGCTTACACATTAAAACATTAAAAATACCATTGAATTGTGTTCCTCCCCTGTCCTGTCCCCCTGCCTCTTCTGTAGAGGTAACTACTATCCTTCATTTTGTGTGTATTAATTACTTGATACATATATATTTAGCCATATATATATATAGTAAATAATGTATTGTTTATTTTTGCTTTACAAAAATGTCACATTATTTCTAAAGTTCATCCATGTTGTTGTAAATAGCTCTGATTTGTTCATTGTCATTTGTATAATATTCCACCAGGTACATAAACCACAAGCTGTTTATCTGTTTGCTTACCCAGCTGATACGTGGGTTGTTTCCAGTTTTTTGCTATTACAAACAATGCTGCTATGAACATTCTTGAACGTGAGTGCCTTTGTTCTTAGTAATATTTCTAAAAAGGTTTTTAAGATGGTTCTTTTGGTCTGTATGCTCTCTGAATTGGGGACTATTCCCTCTTACTCTCTGGAAGAGTTTATATCAGATTGAAATGAAGTGTTCCTTGAAAGTTTGGTAAAAGTCACCTGTAAAGCCGTCTGAGCTTGGCATTTCTTTGTGGAAAAAAAATTATAACTATTCATTCAGTGTATCTCTGACAGGCTATTGGTGTTTTCTTCTGGTCAGTTTAGGTAAAATATTTTTCTAACATACTGTGCATTTCATGTCTTTTTTTGGCATGCAGTATTCTATTTTTCACCTGTTTTCTGGGAAGTCATGTCCTTTTTCATTTCTACTGTCTGTGTCTTCTCCCTGTCTCTCTTTTCCCTTGGTGAATTGCACCGACATGTGTTTGTCTGTCTCGGATGCTACTTTGGACTTTGCTGATCTGCTTCCTTGTGTGTTTCCCATTTCATTAATTATTGATCTTACCTATAGTATCTCCTGCTTTCTTTAGGTTTAATTTTCTAACATCTTAATTTTGACACTTAGCTAATTTTCTGTCTTCTTCGCTGTTGTTAAGTTTCAAGAACCTGTTTCTCTACACCCCGCAAGTTCTTCTATGTTATACAGGATTGTCATCATTAGTTATAAGAATATTTAAATTTCTTCTATGACTTCTTTTGATTCATGACTTATTTAGAAAAGTTTTATAAATTTCCAGATGTCTGGAGAGTTAAAAAGTGATCATTTTTTTGATATTGATTTCAACTTAATCACGTGCTCAGAGAATGTGGTCTCTATGATACCAATTCTTTGAAATTGTTGGGATTATTTTATATTCTGTAACTGATCATGAATGTCCATCTCTTTTGTTGCTTTCTGCTGACACCTGCTGACAGTAATTTGTTTCCTTGTATGTTTTGTATTTGGGGGTTATGGTCTCAAATTGTGTTAAAACTTAATCTTTGGGAATTCTGAGGGTCTAAATTGGGGGTACTTTCCTCCAGAGAGGATTTGCATTTGCTTCTGCCATGAGCTGGGGGATGCTTCTGACCTGGGACCATGTTAGCCCCTTCAAGAGCCCAGTTCAATTCAGGAGGCCTAGATTTTCTCTCCTTCCTTGGTTAGACCCAAGGCTTAAACTCTGCTCATAGCGCTGATACTAGCATTTGACTCCGGTGCAAACCTGCTTTTTCTACTGCATGTTAAACTCATGTTTCATTGAGGTTTCAGCTGAATGTTTTGTTTTTCCTTTAGGGATTCCCCATACTTTCTAATGAACCCAGCGGTATGCTAAAAATTATATTTGCGGTAACTGATTCAGGATCTAGTTGTATTTTAATGGGACCTTTCTCTTACCCACGCTGCCAGAAGTGGGAAGGAGTCCGTCACTGTGGTTTCGACATTTCCCCTCCTTTTTTAAGTGCTGAGCACTGTGTTAGAAGCTGGACACGAAAAGTTGGTCAGACTTAGACGGTCTTCAAACATGTGAGTTGGGAAGACAGACAAGTAAATAATGATCTTAGCACAGTGTAAATTCTGTTCAAAACAAGCACAGCATGCTGTGGGAGCCAGAGGAGTCACGCGCAGGTCAGGCAGGGATCAGGGACTGCTTCCCAGTACAGGTGAGTAGGAGTTAGCTGGACAAGTCTACCTCATAAAGTAAGGGAAGAACACCACAAAAGAGCTGAGTTACGCTCCTCACTCCACTGCGTAAGAGCTATAAGCAGAGAGAGCAGTTTGGGCTGAGTAACTTGGGATGGCTTCATGGAAAAGGTAAGCTTGAGTTTAACGTCAGCAGGGCTAGGATAGGTGAAAAAGGGGGCATTCCAGGAAAAGCAGAGGGTAAGGGTGTGGGCTGTGAATAAAGGCATGGCAGTGCAATACAGTACAGAGACCTGTCAGGCATAACAGGTGTGTATGAAGAATAGTGACAGACAGACCAGAAGAAGAAAACAGCACACAGCCGTTAGAGGTATTTGTTGAATGAATGGATGGTATGAGGTTTCCTCTGAGCATGGAGAACTGGAGTCAAAGGATCCAGCCAGGCAGCTGTTGCCGTTATCCACGTGGGAGGAGCTGTGGGATTGGACCAGGCTGCTGACAGACAGGTGATAAGTATATGGATGAATAAAGCACTAGTTGAGAGAGAAGCATCCGAGGAAACAGTGTCCTCACTACGGCTGGGATTGGGGATATGTCCATCCACTTCGGGACACCAGGACGCTGGATGATTGCAAGATTTGCATGAGTGTTGTGGGGTTTTAAAGTAGCCTCTTCCACCATACTTTTAAAATCGGCCGTGAAAACAAAACTATTCTCCTGCATTTCAAGGAAGCTTCAGTTTATTCGGTGAAGGATTAAACTAAAACTTGGAGAACTACCTACTGCTTCCTTGCTACCGTTCCTCATTCTCCCCCTTTTCGACAATTCCCTGTCCCCTACACCATTGCCTCCTCCCAGTGTCGTCTTTTCCTGTTCTGGCTCTATCACAAATATTAAAGATATAATCTGCTAAAATTTGAAATAATCTTTTACTACTAATTAAACCAAGACCAACTCTGCATCTCTAGTCTGTGGTCCCAAATAAATGATCTATTGTTTATTTTTGTGGTTAATAATCAGCTTTCTTTAGAAATCAAAGCAAATGTCACATTCACATACCCACTAAATGGGGAAATTTCTGTCATTATTTGTCTAAGTGTTTTGCCTCATGGTTCCCCAGTAGGCCTACTCCTTCATCTAAGATCATCTCGCCGGTTCTATCCAGTGGAATAAAGCTAAGCATAAATATATATAATGCAGTATTTCTTTAAAAGGTTCTTGGGGAGGCAATTATTTCCTGGGAAGAACATGAGTTAGGCTCAGCTCTTTGCTTTACCACTTACCGTATGATTTTGAACATTTTATTTAGCCCAGTTTTCTCAAACTGTGGACTGCAACCCATAAGTGGGTTGTGAAATCCATTTAACAGGTTGCAAACAGCACTTAAAACAAATGAAATAGAAAATACTGGGTTCACTGCATGTAGTAAGGGTAAGTATTGTTTCCTGAAACTTTTATTTCAGTTAAGACCTGTTCTTCAGTGGTCATGATATAAAACATTTCTTATCATGGGTTAAAGTAAAACAATCTTGAAAAAAAATGACAACCATTCTGATGCTTTGTTTCCATAAAAACGGATAAAATCTATTCCACAGGATTGTAGGAAAGAATAAATGAGGTAGTATTTGTACTCAGACACAGGAAGGGATCAAGCAATAGCTGCTTGTTTTGCTTTTCCTTGAAAAAAAGCCCCTAATGTCTATGATTCAGGGAAAAAATTTACTAATTTCTTTAACCTGTAGTATGACATGGATCCTGTGTTTGTTTTTTTATCAACTTTTGAATAATAAGCCAATGTGTTTCCCCCATATGATGCAATTTAAATAAGACAAATGACATTATCCTGCTCTGCTGGTACTTTCCTGCCCCACCCTCACTCTGATGTCCCACACATATACATACCCACCAAAGCAAGAGGCTTCACGTGCACCCAAGCCAGTATGGGTTCCCACAGGGTCATGTCATCCGTGCCAAACCACCTACACACCTGCAGTGGCACCCTGGGGCCTAACAGGTGAGTGAGATTTTTTCTGTCAAAAGCCAACTTTAAAAAAAAAAAAAAAAAAGGTTCGATGGGGTGAGTAGTTCTAGTATCAGATGCTGTGCTTTGACATTTAATACAGAAAACAAAAAGAACAGCCTTCAGTTTTAAATTTTGACAATTAAGGACTGAGGAGAAAGGAAGAAAGGCAAATGGGGAGGAAAAAAAATTCTGTCAATATTTTAAATTTATTAATTCATATGTGAAAAATAACTATTTTCCCACCCCCACACCCCCCCCAAAAAAATCAAGTGAGATGACTGGCATTGTTTTACATTTTGGGAAATTTATTTAATGCCTAAAGAACAGCTGGATTCTCATATCCGCTTCTGCATTCAATCTGTCGCTATATCGACAAGTATATATTAATTTTCTTCCCAGTGGTAGAAACGGGATAGAGCTGGGATACAAAGATGAATCCTTTCCTGCCTGAGGAGCTCAGACTAGAGCGGACGGAAACTGATGGAAACAGGGTGATGGAAAACTTCCAGAAAAAGGCAGAAAGACAAAGAGATGGCCAAGAAACATCCGGAGACGGAGCCTTAGAAATACAGACAAGTTGAAACAAACTCTTCTCAACACTGTTCTTTGTGTGGGGTGGGGGGGCATGGGGGAGTCTCACTTGGTCAATAAAGGACTTAAAACTGCCTGAACTTATAAAAAGCTCCTTCCTCTGTCGGAACAGAGATGTTCCTGAAGTCTTGTTTTTGTCATTGGAAAATAAAAACCTTCCTACTATAAAAAGCAGCTGCCCATCTCTTTGTGCAATGTTTCCAAAGGTCGGCCCTTTAGAACCCTACCCCTGGAGGTGCTGTCGAATTTTAAACCGTAGGTTAAAGCAGGCTCATCACCTCTTGACATGTGCCTGACAACTGGCTGGAAGCTGGCCAAGGGCTGCGTTTTGACAGGTGGACTGGCCATTCCCCCCCACTCCAGACAGTGGTGACAAATTTAAACTATCC